AGTTATCGGACAATGGTTGGATTGGACCGACCTACTCGCCTATTTGCTCTCCTACAATCATGGTGGACAAACGTGATGATGGCTCAGGGGAGCGCAAAATGCGTATGGTTGTAAACTATCAGGCCTTAAATGCCCTTACGATAGCCCCTGAATTTCCCTTACCTCCCATCCAAACCATTCTCGAGATGCTGGGAGGCGCCCAGTACTTTTCCACCCTGGACCTAGAAGCAGGCTTCCATCAAATACGCGTGGCTAAGGAAGACCGGTGGAAGACAGCTTTCCGGTCAGTTCTTGGACTATTCGAGTACCGAGTGATGCCCTTCGGCCTTAAGGGTGCTCCTGCTACGTTCCAGGCCAATATTAATGCCTACCTACAACCCTTACTGGGACAAGGCGTTATTGCGTATCTAGATGATGTCCTCATCTATTGCTCTGATCTCTCGGGACACGTTTCTCTCTTGCGACAAGTCCTCAGCATTTTCCTTCAACATCAGTTCTACCCAAAATTCCGCAAATGCAAGTTTGCAAGGCAAACGATTACGTATTTGGGTTATACCATTTCCGCTAAACGATTACGTATTTGGGTTATACCATTTCCGCTGCGGGGATTAAACCTGCAGAAGATAAAATTGCAGCCATCCGGCAGTGGCCGGAGGTGCTGCAGAACGAAACGCAGGTGCGTCACTTCCTCGGTACCATAAATTATTGTCGCATGTTTATGGGACCAGACTATGCCGACGTTGCCCGGCCGCTGGTTGATCTTACACGTAAGGGCGTCAGCTTCAATTGGACAGAACTTCACACGCAAGCGGTGCGGAAGCTCAAACAGCGTTTAATCGACTACACTACACTACAGGTCCCTGACACCTCGAAACCCTTCGAGTTATATACAGATGCCTCTGGTTATGCACTAGGAGCAGTTCTGGAACAGGACGGCAAACCCATCGGTTTTCTCAGCCAAGTCATGAATCCTACGCAACAGCGATACTCGATCTACGATCAGGAACTCTTGGCGTTGGTCGTGGCACTGGACAAATGGTCGCACCTGCTCCGGGTATCCAAGGTAACGGCCTACACTGATCATCAAGCTCTCACTCATCTCCAACAACTCCGAGCATCGAAGCCTCTGCGCGGCCGCACCGCCCGGTGGCTAGACTTTCTTGCGGAGTTCCCGGACTTGCACATCACGTATGTTCAAGGCGCGCGCAATCAAGTTGCCGATGCTCTGTCTCGCCGTCCCGGCCTCTCTCCCGCCTGCTCGCACGACACCACGCGAGGCTCCCTGCACTCGTGGTCGGTCTGCCAACTACAGGGAGCTCGCCGGCCTTCGTTCACGACGACCTCGACGGCGCAACACACCGCCCGCACCTTCACCTGCGTTGGCAGAACCCTCCCAAGAGGCGGCGAATTCTACACACAAAACGCCGACACCAGCTGCCCCTCCTGATGTATGCCATTGGCCGCGCGCTTACTCGCAGTGTCCTGTCTTTAGCGCTCCCTACAAGGCAGCAGCAAACCAACCAGGAGAAGCTCTGCAGCTCGAGTTTCGTAATCGACAATCCACCTTTCGCTACGTCGAGCCTTACCTGCATATCCGCGTTCATGGCCTGTGGCGCATCTGTGTCCCACAATTCCCTGAATTCCTCACTCAAGTTTTGTATTCCCATCACGACCATGTCACAGCAGGCCACCGCGGACAGAAAAAGACCTTTGCGGCTCTCAGCAAGCTCTACTACTGGCCAGGAATGCGCGCCTACACCACTGCTTATGTTGAGTCCTGCACTCATTGTCGAGCGTCCAAGTACCTTAACCAGAAGCCTGCAGGTCTTCTTCAACAGTTGCTCATACCTTCTCGTTGCTGGGCGCACGTGAGTCTCGACTTCATCACAGATCTTCCCCTTACAGCGACGGGCCGTGATTCAATCCTTGTCCTGGTCGACTCCCTCAGTAAGATGGCTCATTTCGTTCCTGCAAAGAAGTCATTCACAGCAGCAGACACAGTGGAGCTCCTAGCCGACCGTCTTATCCGCTATCACGGTTTCCCAGAAGTGCTTATATCGGATCGCGACCCCCGTTTCCAATCAGACCTTTGGAACCAGCTCTGTCGCCGCTTCAACATCAAACGGTGCATGTCCTCGTCCTACCATCCCCAAAGCGACGGCCAAACTGAACGGGTGAACCGCACACTGGAGCAGATGCTGCGTACATATATCAGATCTGCTGAACGCGAGTGGGAGCGTTTGCTTCCAGCCTTGGAACTTGCCTACAACACAACAAGCCATTCACCCACAGGGCTCTCTCCTTTCGAGGTCATGATTGGAGAAAACCCATTGACTGCGGCGGAACTGGATATCGTAGGCGCGTTAGCTCCTACACTCACTCCTCCCATGACTAAGCTTTTTCGGCAGCTCTGCGACAGCGCGCAGAGTCACATCCTGAAGGCGAAATGGCAGCAGAAGTATTACGCAGACACAAAGCGTCGAGCAGTGGAATACGCAGTGGGAGATAAGGTCTGGCTCAGCAGCAAGCACCTACCGCCTTTCAACAGCTGCCCTAAGCTCGAGCCCCGCTACCGCGGACCCTTCGAAGTCCTCGAACGCATAGGAACTGTTGTTTACCGTCTCGCTCTGCCTCCCACTTATGACTGCCATGATGTTTTCCACGTTTCACAGCTAGTTCCCCACCGCCCCCGCCCTCCCGCTTTGGTTCCCTCGGCAGCCGACGCTGCCTGGCCTCCTATCCACGATGCAGCAGGCAATCCCACAGATGAATACGAAGTCGACTATATTATGGACCAACGCGGCTCGGGAGATGCAGCCCAGTACCTCGTGAAGTGGCGCGGGACCCCTGAAGAGCAAGCCACATGGGAACCAGCTAACCATC